ACCACCGCTGTTACCGCTTACCGCCACTATTGCCGCCACTGTTACCACCGCTGTTACCGCCACTATTGCCGCCACTGTTACCACCGCCATCATTAGAGGTGGCAGCTCGAATATGTTTCTTTTTCTGAAAATGAAAAAAGAACAAAAGATTTTATCAATTGTACAGACTAGACAGAGCTAGAAGAGGTAAGTAATCTTCTTTGAAATATCGAGGCACCTCACATGCTGCTATTAGAGTAAAAATAAAAACATACCAGTGTCTTTTTAAAGCTCAAGTGATTATGACCATTATAGTCATTTAGTTTAATGAGTGAATCCTTGCCACAGGAACCAAACATATCCACATCCACTTCCAGAGAGGAGAAGACGTTCTGCGCTCTGAGTTTCGCTTGTTTTATTCCTACAGCAGAACATAGAGTTAAACAAGAAAAGTTTTAACTAAATGCCAATAATTATTTAGTTTTTTAAACTGTCATTTTTAGTGTTTTGCAAATCTTTGAGTTACAGTGGTAGTATTGTTCCTTATTTAATTTATGGCCTGATACTTTTTCCATACCTTGATTTCGGTGTCTAATATGAAAAACCTGCTTCCCTGTAGTCATTGCTCTGCTGTCATAGAATGAGTTGTTATTGTCTCCTGTCAGAGAGAAGAGAAGCAGCACGGGTGCTCCCCGTTCTAGGGAAACACTGAAGGTAATATCTGAAGAATCTAGACAGTCATCCCTCTCTGTCAATACGGAGGCCCGAAGCCCGGCTACTTTCTCCAAAACACACACCTGCCATACATAACAAATAAAAAAACCCCAAATACATCAGTTTCCCTTTCATAATATTTAAAACCTATCACAACACATTGTTTTCACTTTACAACAGGTCATCAACGCCATTAAAAGTAAGTCACCGATTAATGGTTAACCTTCCTGTTATGTTCTGGGTCAAATTGACCCAGTGCAAAGTAACAAAAAAAATCTAAAAAAAATAGTTAAAAATATTTTATTGGTATGAAACTTCGTCTGCTTGGCGTAATAGGTGTGATCAACATATAAAATGAAAATGGTTCAATTCACATATTTGCAACATCCCCCTGCATGTTTATATTACAAAGATACTGTTCAGGTCAACATAACAGGAGGGTTAATGGCCCAGATGGTGAAGACCTCGTATGGTGAAGAATGAGGGCTAACAATCTGAAACATATTGTAGCGTGTTGGGGGAGCCAGGGGAAGTGCCATGGACTGTATACACACACACACACACACACACACAGGAGCATGCCACAGATGGACAGTGACACGCCCACAGAGCGAGGACTGGTGCTGTTGCCCACCATAAAGCAAGTGTTCTAGGGGGATGAAACTTTGGGTTGGTGGGTAATGCTTCCGGTTCACAGTTTATTTTCTGGGGGAAAACTCTTGTATATAAGTTCTGAAGTTCAGTGTTGTGTGGGTGAATAAAGGCAGCAGCTGTCTGGGGTCATGCAGTATATGGGGAATGGAAGCCTGCATAACAGGACAGCCTGACTCCATTGTCATTCCTTGGCAGAATCCCTTAAGAAACTTCATAAGACTGTGATTTGTCCAAAGATAGTTCCAAAGTTTTGTTTTGTTTTCTTTTTTCTGGTTTACAGTGCCACAGTTATAGCTACAGTACGGAGAAGAATAGATAAGCATCTGTATTTAATACAGATGTTTAAAATTCTAAATATTTGTTGCTCTTGCAGGCATTTATTTTCTATAATCAGAAAATAATCTGAACACTGGTTAATGTAGATACCGGGGTTAAAGCTTAGAATAATAAATTTTGAGGTGACAGCACAGGATGCTGATTTGGAAGAAATCACAGGGGTGATGCATCCACTGTGTTCTGATGTTTACAGATATGCCACTAAGTGGCTGATGGGATGCTGTAATTAAAGGTTAAATTTAATTTGTAATTTAAAAAGGTTTTAGCTCCAGCCAAATGATTTTAAATACTAACTTCAGTCACTATATTTCAGTACCCCACTATCACAATCATAACAACATGAAGAAATGATGCATCATGTTACTTATTGCTTCACTGGTTGCACACAGCACAATTCCTTGTTTACTTACCTGCAGTTCTGTGGACACTTCAGGGACGGTCACCATGTTAGATGCATAAAGCATCAGCAGGTGGCAGCCGGACCTGAGCTGCGTCATCATCTCAGGAGTCACTGTCATGTTGTGAGGAACATTTCCTCTGACCACAGATAAACTGGACAACAACATATTATGACTCTGAATTCTGTAGGTCACATTTGTACCTTGAGAAATAAAAGAGGAAAAAACACTTACAGTACGCATCACTGAATAACTACCAACACCAAAACCTGATATTTTCAAACTGAAGAAACATTTTGGTATATCATAGTCTGCTTGGTACCTACCTGCTTTTGCTTCCATTTGAATTTGAAAAGCTGCTCCATACAGGGCTTTGCAGTTTGTTGCATGGAAAAGCAGGTTTCCAGCATAGCATCGAATGACACCAATCTCTGTAACAGGCTCTTGAATGGTAATTATTTTCTGAACCGTAATGTGTGTGTCCCCACTGGTGCATTCAGCTGCCACAACAAATGTGCTTGGATGAGTATATTTGTGCATCACGCTGTTCTCCAGCCTGAGAAAAAAAAAACATCAAAACATTTTGTGATTACTATTTTTCTCATGCTTTCTAAAAGAAAGCACTAATTCAGGTTAATACTGTATATACCAGACAAAGCAGTCAGTGCTTAAAAATCCAATAATGTAATTTTCTTACAATAACAAACTGGAGTTACATTCACATAAACAATTAATCACTTAGGTCTAACTACACAGTATTGTGGGTTGGCCATAAGATCTAATTAAAGATACAGTATCACGATGCAAGTGACAGTGGAAGTGAGTCATTTTTGGTGGTTTAAATATTATTGGGAGAGGAAGGGGGTGTGTGCTTTGGGTGTGCTCTGCTCCTGAACTTGAGATTGAAAATTTGAACTGTGGTTTGGGGAAAAAAGCTTCGGGGATCTGTGCCTCTCTTGCGTACTGGCAGACCCCCAAAACTTTTCAGAATTAAAGAGCTAACAGGGTGTGCTCAGTGTCCTTTGGGTTGGATCTGATGTAGACCTGAAAGGCAAATGGCCCATGAACTTAATGTGATGATTGGGATTGGGATGCCTTGCTGTAGGCGGTTGAAGCTGCTCCTGTCCTGACTGAATGTCTGGAGTAGAGGCTGGGTGAGATGCTGAGAGAGATGGATGGTCTTGATGGCAAATGCACATTTATTCAAGTTGTGATATTGTTACATACTATAAAATCTAATGCATGTACTCAACAACACTATTGACCACTCTTTTCTTTACAGTACATTTGGTCCATTCCGCACAAACGCTCTTGTTTATTTTGTTTATTCCTTACAGCATCCCTGTTGGGTTAAGGGGATATTATAGAAATGAGGTACAGCCCTTCCATAAAGTTGGGGGGACGTGTGAGATACACATTGAAAGGAGAATGGTTGAAATCAACGCAGCAGAGGCAACAATATCCTGACTTTTAGACCAACATCTGGGGCAAGTCACTTGGTGAAAGTTACCACTCACCACTGTGCGCTGTCCAAATAGATAACATGGCCATCTCCAGTACTCAGCTTGCAGCTGCGGTTTCCCCAGGACATAGGTAAGAGCCACTTTACACTGACGGTGATGTCATTAAAAACCGCAGCCACAGCGCTCACTGTCAGCACAAGCCCTGGAAGGAGAAACAACAGAGACATGGACTTCACAGGGATATTTAATATTGATTTTGTCTCATTATTTTCTCATCTCGGCTGAATTTAGCCCTGACTCGGTGATATGAATGCAGGTTAAATTAAACCCAGTCAAGTTACCATGGAGATTTATTCTATGCAGCTAAATCAGGGTTTTCCAGTTATCCCAGCTGAATTTGCCACTGACTCACTTGCATGAAAGCAGGTTAAATGATGACATTCATGAAAATTGCTGTTCATATTATTGTTAGAAGTCTGATGAATTTCATTGCAGCTGTTGAGGTGAGAGACAGAGGATAAAGCTGCACAGACATACTGGTGTGTGTTATCTTGTGGTTATTTTCTTTTCTGTAGAAGCACCTTCTAACTGTGGTTTAGAAAAGTGCTATTTTTTTTTTACTTAACTAATTTACTATTCTTACTATATTGTGCAATATGCTTCTTTCACTGGCTGTTTTACAGCGCCTTAGACTTTGAGATTTAGATTTTGTGTTACCTATTTCACTTACATTGTGTGGCATTCGTGTGGACGGCATAGTAAGAATTTAATTGTACAGGGAAACATGTTTCCTCACTGTGCACATCACAATAACCACTTGACCGTGACAAATAATAAATAAAAAATGTTAATTAAATGTGACTTCATCTAAATATTTCAAGTCAAATAAAACTGCTTGAAGGGTTGACATTAACATGACACTTACTGGGCCCAAATATAACAAATGCTGGCAAAATTGGCAAAACACATTCCAAAACATATCCTTATTAAGCGTTCATATTTTTTTAACTAAATGAAGACACATCTGAAAAAGTGAAGTTATTGTCTTGTAGAAATAGTACAGTGACTACCACTTTTTGTGTAACCACAGGTGGTTTTTGAAGCTGCCATCAGTGGGACTAGGTTATTTTAGTGTATCTCTTTATTGGCTCCTCTGATGACCTTTGACTTTTGACCACGGTTATGTTAACCTTCAAAGTGAATCTAAAGAGGTGGGATGGGAATCAATCAGACTTGCTGGCTATAGAAAACATGATTTCCCCTTTGAAGACTGAGCTGGCATTACAATAAAATGACTGACCATCTTTGCAGTGGTAATCCACAGACAGGTAGCTCCCCAGGTGAGGACAGGGTTCTCCAAAGGACCTCACAACTTCAGCAACAGAGCAGACCTGGCGGCCATGGCAGTGAGCTGAGAAACATGAGAACATAATCAGCTAACAGACAGCAACAACAGTTCTAGGGTCTGCCAAGAAAAAAAAAATTGTTCAAACAGCAGCTCTACAAAAAAACAACTCGAAGTCATCGTCATATATGGACTGGACTCGTGTAATGCTTCTAATGTACGCACAGAACAAAGCACGTTCACCCACACACACTCTCACAGAGGCGCTAGCTGTGCTAGTACAAAGTCAGCAGAGGGCATCCTAAGTTTAGCCTTAGGTACCTGCTCCTGTGCCATCACAGCCCAGTTCACTGTCAGCAGCATAATGAACATTGAGTTATGCTGCAATCACACCCTATACTGTAGTTTAAACACATATAGGCAGCTGAGTGGGGAGAACTGTTTATGTCAGTTTCTAACTTGTTATCATGACTTTGTGACACTGACTGATATGTCAACAAAACTGTTCTGACAATGGCTGAACATGCACCACTGCAGGCAGTTCAATCAAAAATCATTTATTAGCACCAATATATGCAATTAAGCTAATTTTCTGCAAGCTACCATACACTGTATCTTGTTACTAGTTTGGCAAACATCTGTATTTATCTTGTGTGACTACAAGATCAGCACTGAGGCTAACAGTCTTGTAGAGCTAAAGGGTGTTTTTCCTGTGCTTCTCATTGTACTGACATGAAAAAGGTGGTGGTTGAGCTCCCTGAAAGCCATGTCATAGTCTTCACACTGTTCATAAACACATGTTAAAGTAGATGTGTGGCTTTGAATTTCATAAAATTGTACAGGTGTGACTATTACAGTGGCCAGTGAGTGTGTGTTTGCAAAGGTAAAGGTGTGTTCACATTATTGGTATTATGTTAAAGTTGTTTTTTTTGTAAAAATGTAATACTATCTGATGGGAAAGGCTTCAGTGCCCCAAGACCCTGAACAGGATGAACAAGTTTAGAAAATGAATGGATGGATAGTGTGTTTCTGCCATCTGTTAAATGCATAAGTCAATATTTACGCTTGAATGGATGGATATCAATTATGTATCTTTAAAGCTATTGAGCTCTTAAACTGTTATTGTGTGGCTTTTCTTCCATAAATGGGCAATCATTCTTTTCAAATAATAATGTGCACTGAGACAATATGTGCTTTGTAATATCTGGTAAACATTTTCTTCTAAAGTGCCTTAAATGTCATCATAATTTTCATTCATGCAGAACCTTTTATGAAACACAAGTATTCCTATTTTTCTCTATTGCACTGAGCAGATTGATTGAGATGAGCTAAGATGGACTATTGTGTAGATCAGATCACTTTACAGTTGTGGATTATGTAATAGTTTGTCATAGTAAGATCAACTTCATGTGGGAAAATAATTGTTTGTATTGCACACAGAAAAATATTTTATCATGTTTTACCTGCCAATGATTCTGCAACATCCACCCAGCTGCACTGATGTTGCCTGGATGTAGCTGGTGGGGAGAGTGTGGATCGACAGTAATGAATGTTCTTACGACCATAGAAGCCACCATCTATCATTAACACCTGACCAGAACCACACTGCAGAGTGGTGGTATGACCCGCACACAAAATAGAGCTTGCAGACTCTAGGAAGAATAGAAAAGCACATTGCTCATTCTGTATAGAGTTTGCTGTTCTTTTTTTGTTTTTACACTGTTTGAGTCAGAATACATACCATACTGGCAGATAAAGTGCAGTTTTTTGTTGCAGTCTTTAGTGGCTTGCCATTTGAAGCCTGTGTCTCTTAGTATGTGTCCGCAAGCTGCTCCTGGCTGTGGGGTCCTGACCCAATTTGAATAGGTGATAGGTGAACCATCCAGCCAAGAGAGGGGACCTGAGGACAGAACAATCCACTGCTGAACATACTGTATGTTCATTAGATACTGTATATGAAAGTCACTTTCAGCTTTTCCCGTTAGGGGTCGCCACAGCGAATCGTCACACTGACGATTTGTATGGTGATATTTGGCATGTGTATGCCAGATGCCCGTTAATAGAAGAAGCCAAACAAACAATGTAATCACCGAGTAAATGTTCAAAAGTGCAGATTCCAAACTTTCTTTGCTGGCTTCCGGTACAGCCCCGAGTTTTTGATATTTGGCGTTACTGACACATGACCAGCTAGACAGCACTCAGAGACCAAACTTCCACCGAGGCAGCTCAGTAATGATCTGGATCACCATCAAAATGTAATGGCTTGTTTTGTGGGCTATACCTTACCTTTCCAAAAAACTTTCATCAAAAACCAGTGATAACTTTTTGAGTTATGTGACAACAAGTAATCTTCGTACCAGCAGATTTGGATGTGAATTAATGTGGTATAAGATGCACAGGGTGATATATCCTCACTGATTGAAGTCATAATACCCAAACTGATGGCTTCTGTTTCTAGAGGAAAGTTTAATACTGCTCCAAAATGTACTCCATGAAATTGAAGTAGAGTATCACAGGCTCCAAACTACTGCATGTGATAACTGCTAAACAATAATTAGATTATCGTTATTAATACTGCTCTTTGAGCATGGGTAATAAGTGGATAATTCCCTCCTCCACATGCATAAAAACAGACAAACAAAAATATCAAAAAACTGGTAGGTACAGCACAAACTGTTTTATATCTTGGAATGTACTTTTTTCACTTTTTACAAAATATACTTGAGTGTGTGAGACGTCATTATCATCACGCTGTGGGAAGGAAAATGGCTTCACACCAGTTTTAAAGGGTATAATTATTGAACTGAGGAAAGTGAGAATGATTTCAGCAG